AAAAAAAAAAAAATGTATAGGTCGTTCACTATTCATTCAGAATTGTAGTCTAAATCATACACAAAATTAAATCTGGATGGAGAAGCTCTTTTAGACTGTATATTTATTTAAAAAAGAAAACCGTCATTAATTTGAAAAAATTAGTAACACATTACAATTTACAGTGCCCTCAACAATGGAGGGTTGATTAATGATAAAAACAGAGTATCGAATGAAATTAACAGATTGAAGTGTTGGGTAAATGGCATACATTTTTTTTAAAATTTATTTTTAGGAAATCAGAAAGATTTATTTAGTGTTGTTATTATTATACCTACAATAATTTAAAAAAATTCCTGATTCTCAAAATAAAATTTCCAACTAATTTAAATTAGTACGTATGTTTTGGGCTCAATTCCATTATTTGAAATGAAAATTAATTCCTCTTTCTTATAATACATTGAATTTGCTTAATTTCATATTATACTGCCATTTATTTATTAACCAACTATACAAATTATTCATATGAGCCAAATAGCCACAATATATTTCTAAGACAAAGTGACATAATAGTTTAAAAGGAAGAACACATGAAATCACCTCAAAGAACCAATGACAAATCTTACAGACCTGTTCATGATTTTCTTCCATTTAGACTCTTTTAATAAATAAACTATGGATATTTATAAAGTTGTATTGATATGAAATTTTCCTACATACCGTATCAAAATTTTGACTATTCTTGAGAGCATAAATTGGCAATAGAAATCGCTCCATAGTTGGATAAGCAAACCAAACAGGTTCATATACATCTCCTGTACCTAAAAGAAAGGAAATTAGCATTAGTTATCTAATACTTTATACAGCTTACATTAAGCAAATGAAGAGTTGAAAATTAATATGAAGGCCTTTCACTATTTCTTCTGACATAAATTTACATTAAATATTACCATAGGTGCCCAATGGATTTCAGTTAATTCTTCTTTGTAAATCGTTTTAATAGATATCTTATTCACAATCAATATGCGATAAGTGTCCGATATATATTATCCCTAGTTAATACTACCCATATTAATATCTTGGTAGTTGCATTATCTCGAAGATGGTACGTTTCAGGGCTTTAAAAAGCAGGAACCCATAAAAGGAACTTCAACAAGTCTTGATGTCCACATTGAAATCTGCAAAACACAATTTGACTGGTCTTGATCTGTAAATTTACCAATATCAAAATTTTGAAACCTACTTTTCAAGTTGTACAGAAATTCAGAATCTGAATCAGAATATATCTAATAAATACCCTTTATTTTGACACCTTGTTTAGGGATCGATACAGCCGTATTACAAATATAATAGATATATCAGAGAAAATGACTAATTAGGTAAGTGAAACTGGTTGACTCAGTAAAATATTTCAGTGAAATAAAGACATTTTTAAAACCTACAAGCGTATTTCACGTTTACAAATAAAAACTTAAGTTAACATATCTGTTGAGTTTTTTTAAGAAACTTCTTTAGAACTCTAAAAGGCCTTAGAACTCTTCTACTTCTATTAGAACTTTAGAAGAAACGTCTAGTAAAGAACAATGTTAAGAAAAAGTTATGGAAAATTATTAAGATGAATAAGCATAAAATAATTACTAAAATTAGCAATTAACTAGACAGATTAAATTTATATTAGGAATACATGCACCTGAACGAATAGAATCTAGTTTCTTATTCAAATGTTTCCTGAATGTGATCATTAGAATTTCCTTTTTGTTTTTGAGGTCCTTCACAGATTTATTTAAAAGTTCACTAATACGACTCCAAGCTTCGGCTATTTTTCTCTTGTTCTTGTGATTCTGATCCTGCAGATCCCAAATACAGGGCTCTGCTTCATAGCACTCAAGAAAGTGTATAACTTCTTCATTAGTCCACTCAACCATTTTCAAAACAATTTGAAAAAATAAAAACAAATCACCAACGATACACGAATATGTGGAAGCGAAACTAGCGCTTGTTCCAAGCTTCTAGTGTTGATTAGGTTAAGGGTGGTCATAAAAATATCTAAATTTTTAAAGAAATATTTAAAAAATTTTGATGAATAATTATGTCCTTTTATTAATATTAAAATTTTAGAATCGAAAACTGATTTCAAATAAAAACATAAAAACGAAAAAATAACAGTGTACAAAGGCAAGAGTTTGGCAACCAAAGAACCAAAACAAACTAATTGAATGTTGACTGTACTAAGTTACTTGCGTTTAAGTTCAGTTTCGGTTCGAATTTTCTTTTAATTTTTATTATATAGAAATGTTTGGTTATCCTTGAAACCCGTATAAGGCTTGGCTTTAGTTGTCGAAGTATAAGACATGTTTTTTTACCATTAACATAATTGACACGGATGCAACCATTCTGTGCAAGCTTTGGTGCGAAGAGACTGTATCGGTAAAATGCACATACGAATGTACCGTAAAACATTTCAACGGAATAGAAAAAAAAATTATTTATTAGTTGGTAATAGATGTTGTTTGTTAAGAAGGGAGCTTGAAAAGTGTTGCGCGGTATAATAGTAATTATTGGATAAGGATAAAGTTTCTAAACTTAGTACTGATATTATTCAGATTTTTTTTCTCTTTGCTTTGCTTTAGAGGCCATACAGGTTGTAGCAACAGTGGGCACGGGGGGAGGGGGCTTTCGGGTTAAAGCCCGTATACGAATTCCCTATAATGTGGATAATTCTCTCTGCTCATTAGCTGGGGAAACATGCTCTCTGTCAGCGTATGTATCTATCAGTAGCTTAGCTCTAAGTGTCTTATAGGCAGCATGAGCATCAAGCCTTTCCTGAACTCAATGATGTAACAGAGGGCAAGTTCCCTGCGCAGAGGGCAAGTTCATCAAAGATCTCAGCGCTGAGACATCAGACTTAACAATTTTAGGGAGCAATAATTCTCAGATACGCCATTGCTTCGAAGAACACTTGGAATGTGTTTCATTTTATACCAACATTTGCTGACAAAAGAATCTATTCAGATATTTAATTTGTTAAAAGTCGCAATCGAATAGTGAAGTTGAAAATCTATTAATATCAATCGTTACGCTGGTATCGTGTTGTGTTTGAGAGAATTAGCTCTTAAAATTAACAATTAGATTACTTAATACAAGCGATAAGAACAAGTGTATTAAACACCCTTGCCCATTTTGGTAAGACCAACCGTTATTATTATTGTTAATTTTTTCAAAAATAAATAAAATATACTTTTGCATGTAATATGTTGTAAAAATTAAAATGTAATGTATAAGATTATTTACCGAATCAATTATAAATATCTATTACCTATCAAGAGAGTATAGTGGTAAGAGAAGAAGAGCAAATCAATCTACAACTTTATAAAGATAAAAACCAAAAACATGGTAGTGAGCTGAAAAGAATACCCCAGTATCAATTATCGAAAGCTGGACAATGCTGGACAGGAACTCTAGAAGTATAACGGCAGCAGAAATGAGATTCCTTCGCAGATCTGTTGGAAGAACTAGAAGGGATCGCATTAGGAACGAAAGCATCAGAGAGCAACTAGGAGTTACCGAACTTAAAACCACTCTCGAAACACGGCAACTCCAGTGGTTTAGACATGTATGCCGTATGAACGAGAACATGAATCCTATAAAGATATTAAATGCTCGACTCACAGGAAGGAGACCACGCGGACGCCCCAGAATTACATAACAAAAGTATATCCAAAGAATTGGAAGTAAAAGAGGCAAAACCCTCAATGAGATGAAGCGGCTAAGCGGCATAGTGGTTACGCTGGATTGAAGCTCCTCGACGGTAACTAATGGCATAAGAGAAAGACAAAGAAGACGAAGAAGTAGCAATTATGAGTCACTAAATTGTTTGAATTTCTCTCCAATCTCTTCCTTCGCATTTTCTTTCTATATTTTTTTCCAGTTTTATATGATAGAAAGGAATAAATTATATTAGGTATAGGTTTATTTAGATACAGGTAGTAATTTTTTCTTGCTCGTTTTAGGTATAAGTTTCTTGACTGAATTTGCCAGATAATTACCAAAACCTCAAATTACAGCAACTGGTTTTTATATTCATCATTAGCAGAGGGTTCAAAGAATATTTTGATTATTGTAGTAAGACCTTGGCGGCCGTTTGCGCGAGATACTTTTCGATGGAAAATAGAAATTCCAGGATCCATTGAGTGATAACTTATTCAATAAAAATACGATATGCTCGAAATTATTAAGAAATGACTTATTTTACTCATTTCAACAAATTATAAAACAAATAATATGTTTAAAATTCAGCAAAAACTAGTAAAATATATTTAATGATTTATAACAAGTCGCATTATTAATATGTTAGAAACTGGCGTTTTATTTACATTTCATTGAAAATCTTGGAAACAGGAATTTTTATTCGTGTCTAAACTGTAGGAATATCTGAGTTAAATATGTCAGACTTTAAAATGATAGAAACTTTATCATATCACCTCGAAAATAGGAGTTTTAGCCGCTTTCAGACCACTGTGTTCTGTGTTAGAGAGGCGAAAAGAGAAAAATTAGTGTTGAAAACCGGGTTTTACGTTTTGTTGAAGATATGGATGAAAAATATCTTAGTGACTAAAAATTGGACCTGCATACTGTAAGCGAGCGAATTGTTTAGCTTTTCGTCCTCTCTGTAATAGGCTATTATTTATAATTTATATTTCATGTTATTAATCTCGCCTTGTTGATATTTTCACTTCTATCGTGTTGTCTAAAGTACGCATCTGAGTTTTTTTTTTTTTTTTATTATAATCGTAGTGATTACGGTTCAGGTATCCTAAATGGATCTTATTGAAAACAAATTCTAAAATACAGTAATTATGCCACTTTTATTACAGATATATGTATGTTTCTTTGCATATATTTAAATAGTAATAAATCTGTGTCAATGCTTTCTATATGAAATTTAGATCTACGTACTTTTGAACTGTTTAGTTTATTGAACTAGTTTCGACAAGATCTTTTACTGAAAAAAATGGTTTCTCCTACCTCTAAAGAAAACTAAACAGAGATATCTCTATGCTCTATTTTGATACAGAGCTCCACCACCGCTGAATTTTGAAATTCACGATACTAATTTGTAGCAAAGTTTATCTCCTTTGGATCTCTCAAATTACCATTTGAGTTTTAATATCACTTTATTTTGAATATTATTATAAAATGATTCTTAAAAATCTGTTATTAGTGTGCAACAGGTTATTTTTTAGAATTAAGGAACCAGTGGGTTTGTTCACACCAAGTTCGGTTTACTCTAAGATCAACAATGTAAGTATGTGATTAGATAAACCAATGATAAAATTATTTTGTCTTTTTTATAGGTAAAATCTAATTTCAAATGGAAAGATTTCCATTTGTTAAACAGAAAACAAAAATTTAAATACTCTGAGAAAATTTTAAGCAATTTTCTTTTTTATTAAATAAAAAAAAAACACCAGTTTGGTGTTTTAAATTTATATGTATTTTTTGATATAATTCATTTAGTATTATGGTTTCAGATAAATTATATAGATAAAAGGCTTTTCGATGGTTAACTTAGGAAAAGCCTAAGTGTTTGTGATGTCTTATTGAATTTCGCTTCAACATTTTATGAGAAACAGACCATTTATTTACTAATTTTCTGTGAAGAGGGAGTGTAATCAATGTTAATGTTAACACTGATTTAACTATTTGCATATTTGATAATGGGGTAACATAGTAAAAGTGTTCCTCTATTTTGATGACTAGGACAAGATTACATCATCAAACTATCAATGGGATTCTGAGAATGGTCCTGTGTTGACAATGTATTTAAATCTCTTTTTTTTTATATTGCCATTTGAAATTTATGCAAACTCCTAACAAGTCCTTATCAATTAAAAAAACGGTCTTAATTAGCTTTAATTTATTCATTCACTCAATTAGCTTTGATTACATCTCTGCATTCAATATTTCCCTCTTAAAAGAGATAAATAAACCCTCAACAGATCCTTTTCAGTTGAGGTAGAGTCTTACTAGATAGTAAAGTCACCTATCTCTACTTTTGAATACTCTTCGTCATTCTCAGGATTCCATTTATAGCATGATCACGAGATCTTGGCTCAGTTGTCCAAGTGGAGCATCACTTGTACAGTAGTACCGATATTGGTAATGAACTTTTTTGTTATAGTTGTGTAATGTCTTGGGTATTTCTACCTTTTTCATTGTTTAAAGAAGCTAACTTGGTTTGATATAATTAAACTTAGCATGCCAATGTAGTATTTTTAATATTATTTTGAAATAATTGACTGTTATTGATAATTCTAATTTATTTATTACTGTTAAGAAGGATAGATATCTAATGTGATTGTTCTGACAAGTATGGTAGTTTTAATATAGTTTTAAGAAAATATATCTACAGGATAGCTATTAAGAAAACTGACATAGCAGGCAATATAGCTCCACCCCTAGCTTTTCATGATTGCGGCCAATATTTGAAAATTGTTGAAATGTAATAAATTATTTTTAAAAAATAAGTAGTTCATCCTTTTAATATCTACTATGCTATAAGTCATTTCAGAACACTTACTCATTTTTTTTCTAACAAAATATAAATTTTTATCCTTCGATAAAATAACCAGAAAAGGACATATTTGTAATTAAGATGATAAGAAAAAAATAGAAGGTGATTACTCGAGTACAGAATTTTAATCATAACTACAACCACAATTAACAATTATAATTTTATCAGTTTTATCCTTTCGAACAAATTGATGCTTTTAAAACTGCTAAAACTCATTTTTTTTTCTTGTAGGCAATTCTTTTTTCAAAATTAGGAATAAATATTGCCCCTCACTGGCGTCTCATTGAAACTTGTTTCTTTTTGAACTACCCTATTTCTTTGTTTCCCTGATTTAGTAACTACTTCTTTAAAAATTTTAGATAAAGTAGCCCTTCTTATAGGTATAGGGTGTAAGGTGCTCTGTTTTGTCACTTGAGAAAATGTGATTAAAGGATCTCAACTTGCTTCTCTATTTCGAAATAGTCTCGCAATCTTTTGACAAACACTCATGATTGTAACTTGTAACGGAACACAGTGCCCCATTTTAAAACCGCTACCTTACTCTAATTTTTTCATTGAGGTAGGAAAACAATTTATACATATCAAAATAATATATAAAATAACTATAACTATATTAAAAAAAAAAAAAAAAAAAAATCAAACTTATACTGGACAGCAAGATGTCGGATGTTCAAATGACCAATGACTACGGCATAGGAAAAAAAAAAGAAGAAATATTTTCAAAATTGATTGGCATAAATTTAACAGTAGTTGACTCTTATATAAAAGATGACAAGTGATAGAAAAATGAGTGGTGCAGGGAATTGAGATGTGATTTTTTGGAGTAGAGGAGGACGATTCTTGTAAGTTCTCTTAGAGCCTCTACTAAAGTGTCTTTAAAATGTAGCTAAATTATATCTTTCATAATTAAAGCTTTTTGTTTAGTTCAATATTCGACACATTACCTATTGATTATACTTTTATTATAATTTAAAAAAGTGAAAAAAATTATTTTTTTTATTTTTTTATAGTGAATTGATTGATCCATGATGTCTCGAAATTCTTCTGTGGCAATTCTAGCAGATTGCACTGACCTCGACAATAATCCTGTTACTTTGATGGGTAATTTTATTTTGTCTATTATCTATTTATTAAAAATTAATAATTTAATTTTATATTATCAACAAAATGTTTCATTCTTTATAGTCTTGATTATTTTTTATTGAACACCAGCTATTGAATCGTTACTTTCTTGAATTAATGATGTTCTGATTAAACTTTATACCATTCTTCATTTTACAAAAATGGACTCGTACTCATTTTATTCCATATAACATTGGTTATCAGATTGCGGGGGCAACGTGCAAATTAGGCACCTATTGAAAGAGGGAAGCAAAATGTGTAAAAACTTTATTCTTTGAAGATAATTTGTTTCAAGCCAACATTTAACTACTGAATACGCCCTATATGCCAAAAAATCCACCTCCAACATGTCAAATTAACAAGGTAACATTGGCCTAATGGCCCAATATTTTTTTAGGCTACCTTTTTTCTCAATTTTATGATCAAATTATTGTACGATTTAAATGGAAAGCAAATGGGTATTCATGAGTTTTTAGTGCCTCATTAAATTAATCAATTTAATAAGTAAATGCCCCATTTTCAGAAATTCTTGTGAATTAAGAAGTTGAAGGTTATGATAATCTGAAGCTATTCACCAAATGATGGATGTTAATAATTTGATAAAAAGGAATCTATACCACAGACTACATTCTATCATCTTTAATTTGAGCAGTATTGAGCTCTTTACATTCAATAATTACTGACAAGCGATCTAAAAAATAATTATGTTTTCTAAAAATAGTGACTTGTATAAAAAAAATCTTTTTAAAATACTGTTTCTTGGTGACCGTTGAATTTAAACAGCTCAAATGCTCTATAAAGTAGTTTATGATAATTATCTTTGGAGGAATTGCTGTTTCCTTGATATTTTTAAAACTGCACTACCAGATGGTGGACTGGGATTGAGATCATCTCCCATTTCAATTTCAGTAGACAACATTTTTTGTCATCTAAAAGTGAGGATTTTTAATGTTGACTTAAAAAAATTCTTCAATTCATGTAATTTTTAAGTAATGATGTAGAGATGGTTGACCGTTGATATAATATGAGAAGGAGTTGATCGGGGGTTGCGGTTAAAAAAATACTAAATTAAACAAATAGTATTATTTAATTTTTCCCAACGTTTTGACCCACTTTGCAGGTCTTCATCAGGGCTACAAAAGATACAAAACATGGTGAAAATAAAATAAATGAATATAAGTAGATATAAAATAAGAAGTATGATAAAGAAATAAAAAGATAATATCAGAGATATAGTGGGTGACAATGTAGTAAAAATATCAAATATTATATATGTAGAAGATACAAACAAAAATGGAAAATAAGTTTGAATAAAAATAGAAAATAAAGGAGAATATAGCATGTAAGTTAAACAGATTGCGATAAAAGATAAGGAATGAGTGTATAACAAGTTTGTTCTCTCATAACTCATTCCTTATCTTTTATCGCAATCTGTTTAACTTGCATGCTATATTCTCCTTTATTTTCTATTTTTATTCAAACTTATTTTCCATTTTTGCTTGTATCTTCTACATATATAACACTTGATATTTTAACTACATTGTCACCCACTGTGTCTCTGATATCTTTTTTATTTCTATATCACACAACTTCTTATTTTATATCTACTTATATTAATTTATTTTATTTTCACCATGTTTTGTATCTTTTGTAGCTCTGATGAAGATCTGCAAAGTGGGTCGAAACGTCGGCAAAAATTAAATAATACTATTTGTTTAATTTAGTATTTTTTTTACCGTAACACCCGATCAACTCCTTCACATATAATTTTTAAGTATTTCGTTACCCTTTCATTTCGAAATACCCACGATTTTGAGTTGGCATATTAGTAGTAAAATTGACATTATGATGGTGTATGACTAAATGTTTTCTTCAAATTAGATGGAAAATTTCGGCTTGGGTCTTGGACTCTACTCATTTCCACCCAGTGTGATTCTGGTCTTGCAGTGTATGCTATTATATATCTACTAAGCACTCTATGTAAATACTAATTTAAACAATTTTTCAGGTCTAAATGGTTCATCATCAATGGTCAGTATTGAAAATGAAACTATACTCGGGGATGACACCAACATTTCTCCTAATCATGTTATTGGCAACATTAGTTTCCAAGAAAGAGTTCAATCTACAAATTTGGCTGCACTGTTCCCCAGGGGTAACCTCGATATAAAAATGAAGAAGAGAAGAAGTAGTGAGAGTTCCCCGTCCACTTCACACTCAGAAAATATTTCGAATTTGCAAAGCAATATAAATGATACGAAACCAGATGAAAATGTATCAAATTCGTTTGAAGAATGTTCTGAAAACAAAAAGATGGAAAACGAAGAGGAATCAACTAAACCATTCAACATGCATATGTATCTCAAAAAGAAATCTGTTAATATTTCCATTGATTTTAATTCTGTGAGTGATTCAATCATTGGAAAGAGCATTGAGGAAAATGCTACTGAGTCAGCTGATAATGTTTCCAATGAACTAGTTGTTCAAAATCATAACGATATTGCAAACGTCTGTTCTGAAAATAAAGAAATTGAAAAGAAAGAACGATCTACTGAACCATTTAATGAGCATCTGGATCTCAAGGAGAAATCTGTTAATATTTCCATTGATTCAAATTCTTTAAGTGACCCAATCACTGAAACGATCCTTGAGAAAAATTCTACTGAGTCAGCTGAAAATGTTTCCACAGAATCAGTAGTTGTTCAAAATAATAACAATGGTGATGAAAACAAAACAATTAGTAACTCTTCTGAAATTGAAAATGGTGCCATTATTGATAATGAAGAATATAACAATCTTACGAATATTCAAACTAGTAATTCTTTGAAAGCAATAAACACAACTGCAGTTGAACAAGATTGTTCTGTAGGAAATTCAAGGAGCAAAAAGGTTAAATCAATTTCCAGTTGTGATAACATCAATGAAGGATCTAAGGAAAGTCATCCAATTTCATTTGAAATAAATTCTAGTTCAAAACATATTTCTCATGTGATTTCCGACCATAATCTTAGAGATAGAGGTATCAATAACAAATCATTAAACTTTTCTAAGAGAAGTAGGAGTGGTGATAAAGACCTTGCTGATAATTTAAAGAATTTTGCCAAGAAAAATAAAACTTCTGTGGATGGAAATGAAGATTTTACAGAGAATATTAGCATTATCTCTGATACTAAACCTGTGACTGCTAGCAGATTTAAGTACCACAGTACCCCTATTAGCAGGAGATTGAGTAACAAAAACAGGAGCAAAATAAAATATAACAGTAATATTAAAACAGAAGATGGGAATATTCAACAGGACAGTAAAATGATTCAGGTTTCTAAATCAATTTTTGGGCCCTCTACTGAAATAACTAATGCCACTGTTGTAAATAAATCGATACAATTTTCTAAAAATTCTAGTCCATATAATGAAAAAACTGAGAACAACATCAAAAGAAAAAGTGAAATAAAAAATGTTGAGATAATGGAGTCAATTGGTGAAAGTAGATCCTACCATTCCAAGTTAGTATCCACTCTTGAAGACAATAGTAGTCACTACGCTACCAGAAAATCTGTTAAAAGAGTAGCATTCAAAAGCATTTCTTCTTATGAAAATTCTTTTGGTTATCTAAACAGTTCCGATGACTATGCTTCTAGAAATAGAAAATCTGTTGGGTTCCGAAATGGTATTTCACTCATAGAAGATACCGTTGGTGAAAATTCTGAAGGAGATATACATGGTGCTAATAATAGTGATTTGACAATTGGAGGCGCAATGCCTGGTACAGTTAATGACTTAAAAAGTGATATGTCTCGTAATTTTATTGCTGAAGTACCTGAAATAATTTTGACTGAAAATGAAATAGAATGCAATGAAACATCAAAAGAGTGTTCACTATTAAATAAGCTATTTGAAATGGCAGGGAATAAAAAATCTGTCAGGAATGTGACTACAAGACAAACAAAACTATCTAGAGGCAGGAGCAAATTGGAAAGTCGTTCTAATTCAATGCATCGTGAAAAGTGGGTTTCACCTAAACTTGTTAAATTTTTAAACAATAAATTAATGACAGATGCCCTAGATCACATAGTTAATACCGAACGAGTAGTTTCTACCCTTTGTTCTGCAGTTAGCGCTGTTAGAAACTTACAAGATGTTAATGATATAGATTTTGCTCTATTGCCTTTGAAAAATATTCTATTGAAGTTTAGAGTTTGTTGCAACATGATAGAATATTGTACGTTTATTTCCAGATTCACTCCTTTCGAATTCCAGCGTAAGGCAGTACCTCTGGAGGGTTACTTTGGCAGTTGCAAAAGAGGTATAAAAAGAAAATTAACAGATCCCATATTGACGGAAACCGAGAAAATGAATGTATTTTCTTGAAATATTTGTGGGGTAAATTTTTTATTTTAATTGTAAGATAGTTGTACAAAGAAAAATCCATTTATTTCCTCCTCTCTATTAAATGTAAAGAATTTACATCAATAGAGAGATTTCTTCAATTTTAAACTTCAATTTAATAAAATTGTAAATCAACAATTGTATTGTAACTGAGTGTGTAAATGGCTGTGGTGTATAAATTTTAATGAAAATTTATAATTTAAATTTTGTTTTGTCAATGTTATTAAAAATTATTAATTTATATTTATATATATTGTAACATCTCTTATATATTTTTTAGCTAATAATAATACCTTAGAAGACCACTTTATACCATTAGGATACTTCTTAAATAAATAAGAGGTTATTTAGTAATAAACAAAATGATAAGAGTATTAATATATTAAACTGAAATTTATAATAATTTTATCTCAGGTATGGGTTACTAACAACCATATCAAAACACTGTTTGATTTTAAAATAAAGTCAAATATGGATTGGTAAGCTAACCTTTTTTCTCTAGAGACTGTTTCTTCCTTTGCAGCATCGAATTGATTTGTCTTCAAATGTTTTCCAATGATCTGCCTAACACAACTTCCAAAATGCTAATACTATAACTGGGTTTTACCCACTGGAGCCAGGATCCCTCCCCTCCTCTCTTCACTGCAGCCAAACAACAACTGCTTGCCAAAAAATGAAAAATCCTGTGGCCGTTCCCTCCCCTCTTTGGGATTTTCCATTCTGGGGAAACTATAGAGCAGCTGTTTTCTGAGGTATATAAGTAAGGTATTTTCTTTTCGCTGAATTAGTGAACTAGATCAGCTTGCTTTTTAACTGTTTCATTAATTTATTAAATAATTTTTAACAACTTTCAATTAAGGTGTATATTACAATATATATATATATATATATATATATATATATATATATATATTTTTTTTTTTTACTTCACTGCTATATTATAGTTTGTACCTGAAAATGAAGGGTCTATGACAGGTGGGAAACCGAAACCTTTTTACCATTAAAGCCTGCAGTAATAATGGAGGCCACAATTTTTTAAAAATATTTTACTGTTGCTATTCTTATTTATAAGTAAATATTCATCCATATAGATGTATTCAAATTAATTTTCAAGTTTTTGTAATTTGAATAATTATATATGAAAATGACAGAACTGAAATGTTTTACGACTGCAGCTAGCTCACAAAAGAAACTGGTACGTTCCCCACCTGTGGTATGTTAGATAAAGGTGTGGTATGAAGCATTTATGGAAAACTGACTTATTGCTATGGATAAAGGTACTAAGCATTGTTGGGTCCAGGGCATATACCCTCGCCCTCTCTCGAAAAATAATTTTTTTATTTGTTTTTGGCAATGATGATTTCCAATCAAACAACAATGAATTTATTTGTTATTTCCAAATTACATGTTAACGTTTCAGGATATTTACTCCCATCTTCAGAAGTATTAAATTGTCAAAACTGCTCCAAAATCTACATTGGAGAAACATCTAAACACTTAACGACGAGAATTTCTCAACACATTACTAACTGCAAAAATACAAAAAACATAAACACAACAGCTTTAGCACATCACAGCATAAATTCAACTCCAATAAACCACAGATATTAGGCACAGAACCAAAAAACAACAATAGAAAATTACTTGAAGTTATACACATCACAAAAACCAATAAAACAACAGTAAATTATAAAACAAGACACCAGACATTTAGGGACACATTATGCTGACTTATTAAACAAAATTAAAATTTAATAAAAATGAAATTGCAGCTACATAAAAAATAAACATTTAACAAAAATAGTATAAAAATAAACAGTCATATCCAAAGGTCAATTGTTGTATTCACTGTGGCAGACACCCAATAATTGGTCTAAAAGCATGATGATGCTCTGGATATTATATACTTTAATTTATTATAACATGAATTTAGAACCTGACAATGGAGCACATTAGATTTAAAGTAATTACAAATTTAATGTAACAACCCAATTCTGACATGTATTGTAACATGCACTATATTTTGACGCAATTTTTTAGCCATGAATAAAAAAAAGCATTGGAATTGTAGTTCTGAAGAAGGAAGTAAATATCCCGAAATGTTAACATGTAATTTTGAAATACAACAAATTAATTCAATTGTTGTTTAATTGGAAGTCATCATTGCCAAAAACAAAGAATAACATACAACTTCCCAGAAAAAAGAATAATTTTTTTTACTAATTTTATTTGTTACATATTTTTATCCTAAACCAAAAAAGTATAGTGACCTTTTCTACATTCACTAATACAGAAGGATTGAGGCATGATTCACCATCTGTGTAAACAGAGAGAAAGAAGTAATAAAACCCAAAAACTTAATACTTTTTATTAGCATAATCTAAACCAAAATAACACTGGCAAACTAATAATTTAAAGAACATAAAATAAAGAACTGTTTTAACACTCATAGAAACAAATTAAATGTTTTCATTAAAGTTCACTATCTTGTATATTTTCAAATTTCTTCCTGTCAAGTTATTGTTTCAATCAAGTTATCCTGATCATGTATTTGAAAAGAAATAATATCCTTTTTACATATAGTTCTTTAACTAGCGAAACAGATGCTTGCAGCTTTCTTAGGCTTGATTAACTGCGGCCAGCCATCTCGAGCATCAGTGATGCTTACTCTCAACTGCTTTTTCTTTTTTTTTATCCTTTCCTTCATTACATTTTGCCCACTCTGGCACCCTGCCCCTACTCTCAACTGCCAGAGTTTGCGTTACAGATTGTTCCTCCTCCTGCTCTACATTCTTTCTCTGCCGGGAGTTCCCTCAGTAGATTTTTCTTGCTGCTCTATCATCTTTAATTCTTAAAAGATAATCCATCTCAATGGCTGAATGTTCAAATAATTTGATAAGCTATATAACTCTTTGTTATGGTGGCGTCGCCAAAATCCAAAATCAGGTTTCAATATTCACAGAATGCTCCTTTAAATTGTAGACATTTTGCCAGTGGCTGTTATATTTTAAGTCCAGGTTTCACCTATATATAAATATATATATATATATAAAGGAAGATATGGGTTGGTTTAGAATGATGACTGCTTGAGTTCTGTAACCAGGAAAGTCTGTAACCAGAGGATAGAGCTGTTGCAGAAGGATAGAGATTTTAATTTAGTGTAGAGTATAGAGTAGTCTAAGGAGTCAAAAGGTTTGGAAAAGTCGAGAAGTATTAACACAGTTAACATTTTTTCGTCCATTACGGTATGTAAGTCATTGATAATTTTTAGTAGTGCGGATTGTGTGGAGAAGCCAGGTCGAAAACTAGATTGGAGAGGATCAAGTAGTTTTGAGTTTCCAAGGAATTTAGAGATTTGACTATTCTTTCCAGAATAGTCCAGGTTCCAGGTTAGAAAGAATGGAGATTGAGCGGTAGTCTTTAGGAGAGGTAGGATTGGGGATTTTGTTAATGGGTCTGACTAATGTTTTTTTCCAAGAAGTAGGAAAAACTGAGTTCTGGGAAAAAAATTATAGATGAAAAGGAGAACTGGAAGGACTTCGGGAAGGCATAATTTTAACAGTTTGATAGGTTGGTGAAATGTAAAATGAAAAAATAACACATCGGTCTGGTTTCAAACTGTCAGACAGAGAGATTCTCAGGAGCCTTTGTGGAGCAAGAGGTATTGACTCGTAAGAAAGTTCTGGAGTGCCTGCCCTTTTTTTTTTCTTAACCTCCATAAGGCAACTATACAATTTACTGTATATATATACACATTAAGTATACATCTACTCCAGAATATTCTTACCTTTTTCTACCCAGAGGTATTTTAAGGTGGAATTTGGCTAAGTGTGCTGAATGCACTTGATACACTTGTGGCCAAGGGACTTATTTTAATATTGACCAGGGAGGGACGGCTCACAGTTTCTGTTAGACCACGCAAGAGAGGGGTACAATCATTGGTAGAATCGAGAAGAATACATTATTATTTTCTTGTGCGGCGCAGAAAATAATTTGTAATATTTAGTGGTCATGAATTCAGTTATAAAGTTTGTTGAATGTGTGCCTGGTATGGCTATCGGAGGTACTTGAGGTATTTTGGTTGGGGTTGTTTGAGAAGTAGTTTGGGGAGCTGGCTGAATAACAGTTTCAATAGCAGATTGAGGTTCGGTTGAAATACTACACTGACAGGCAAAAAATTCCACCCACTTGATTTTTTCATCTAAAAATCTTTTACCCACTTGTAAAAAAAGTTGTATTTGTATATAATACATGGTATTTGTAGATAATACTTAGTATCTATGGAATTTTATAATCTTTTTTACCTTTAATAATCAAAATGTGATTGGGTAAGAAAGATTAAGAGAAAAAAAATTGAAAAACGAACCATTATTATTCTATAAGAAATTAATTACATCGTTTAGTAGCGCGTGTTTCCTCCTCTTGCCTTCACTATTTCTTGAAGACGCCCTCTTGGAGGATAGCCCATTTTTTTTTTTTTTTTTTTTTTTTTTTTTTTTTTTTTTTTCTGACCCCCAGAAACTTTATTTAACATTACTTACAACATACATCTATGAATGTATATATACATTATTCCTTGACCTTTGCTTACCTAAGGGTATTTTAAGGTAAATGACAGTTTATGCCGTAAGCATAGGATACTTTCTGTGGCCTTAGGTCTTGATTTCATCACCGGGCGTGGAGGGACCGCCCTGCTTTATTCATAAAGGATAGGGATGAGGGTATATTTACATATTTTCAATTATATATTTACACTATGTACAAATGTGAGGGTTCAGACTGCCGCGTCCAGACCCCCTCCTTCGTCAAGGACATCTACCAGGGGGACTTTGCCTTGCCACCTTCCAGGCCTGGGCGGTGGAGCGATTTCTTGGAATAATGGATTTGCACAGGCCTTAAGCCCATCAAAAAATTTGATGTGCTCCGGCCAATGAATTCCGGGACCGAGGGTAGTTGGAGCTCCTGGTAGATGTCTCTGTTCCTGGATCGCTGAAGATGGGTACCTCTGACTATTCGCCGAAGGACGGAGTTTTGGAATCCCTGCAGTCTCTGGAGTGTCGTCTGGTAAAGGTGTCGGAGAAGCGGTGCACCATAGAGCAGCGTAGGTCTGATGACCGCCTTGTATATCTGAAGTTTTAGTCTCAGCGAGAGCTGCGGCGACTTCAGCAGGTGGTAGAGCCTATGTGACTTTTGTTTTGCCAGCTTGAGTCTTTGTCTGACATGACTGGGGAATGTTAGGTGTCTATCCAATGTCACGCCGAGATAGACTACTGAGGTGGAGATCCGCTGTTCCACACTATCGATGGTGAAGTGAGTGGGTAGTGGCTTTTTCCCTTGCTGGAACGACATCAAGATAGCGTCGGTCTTCATGGGGTTCACTCTGATGCCATTTTTCTCTAGCTCTCCGACGATGACTTCTGTGGCTTTTTCTGCATGCTTGAGGGCTCTCTTTGCATTAGTGCTCGATGCATAGATCCCGATATCGTCAGCATAGGCTGCTACCACTGCGTTTGGGTGCTTGAGTGCCACTACTGGCGCCGTAAAAACGACGAACAGTATTGGTCCCAACACAGACCCTTGAGGTACTCCACAGGTGGTATCGACTGGGTTAGAGTAGTCGTCACCAACTCGTACGACGAGAGATCTTCCGCTAAGATAGCTTCTGATCAGTCGGCATAGAGGGGCTGGGAACTTGTACTCTTCCAGCCGTCGGAGTAACAGCGCGTGAGACACGCAGTCAAAGGCCTGGCTG